ATTAAATTGGACAAAATGTTGGTGAAGATGACTTAAAGACAAGGCAAGGGTGAGCCGGACTTAATTGGAAGCTTGGTGTGCTCGGTTCTCTTGATCAAATCAGGACAAGCAGGCTCAAAAATAAAGAGAACTGAATTGGATGAAAATATGAATGAGAAAGACTTTAAAAAGGTAAAATAGTGTTGCTACAGTTACATTTAAATTGAAGTCACCTATCACGCTAGCATATGGAAGTGGTCAACATTATGCACTAAAGGGGGGGTTTTGGAGGATACTTGGGTTTGTTGTAGGTACAAAATATTTAAATTAAGTATTATTGACTTTAAAGAGGGAGTAGCACTTTAAAAAATAGTAATTCACAAACACTACTAGAAGAAAAAAAAGTCTTTTATATCCGTTAAAATAGACATTTGACATTAAAAAGACGACTAGTGTAAAAATGGATAGTGTTAAAAGTCCACACTTTTTACACCAGTTAGGAACCTAACATAGAAAACTATAACTTTAACAACAATTATTATACCAATTGGTGTAACCTTTGAAAATTTAAATTAAAAAAGGTCTACTTCTTAGACTATCACTTTAAGAAGTGGACCTTTTTTTAATTTAATTTTTTTTATACTAGCTAGTTCTTCTGATTACTAAATATTTCTTTTGCTAAACAAAAGAAATTGTGAAAACATAAAGTTTAGCAGTTAACAACTAACAAAGTCTAGCAGTTAACCACTAACTAGTATTAGGGGTTAGGAAAATAGCTCACGAAAGAGAAAGAAAATGATAGAAGATGAGTTACAAGTGGTAGACAGGGAGAAAGAAAACGAAGGCCAATTCATTTTGCAAGGATGAGCTAGGTCTTTAACAAGTACTTGGTTCTTCAAGGAACTGTAGCTTGGATTTGATCATACTTGAATGTCCAAATACTTGACAGAGTTTCTCATCCTGTTTAATAAACCAAATACGGCGATGATGCCTCAAACCTAAGATAACTTGCAACCTTTAATGGACAGAAATTCAAAACTGATCTTAAACAGAAAGAGACTGGTATTAGGGTTTAGACAAACAGTTCAAGAGAGAAATAAAATGGCGATGATGTTACCTACAGTGAGAATAGAACAGTGGAGGAATGGACAAAGATGGTAATGGCAAGCGACATAAGACGACTTGAAAAAACCATGCCATCTCCACACAAATCCACTGGTGAGAGCACGCCTCTCTATATTCTGAGACTGTGAAATTGAGGGCAAGAGGGCTTTATTTATGGCTAGGGAAAAATTTTAACAACGATTAACATAAAAATCAATGTTAAAAACTCATTTTACATCGAACATAAAATAACCGATGTTTATTTTAAATGTTACATCAAACTTGACAACACCCGGCATAAAGACTCCCAAAAAAAATAACCAGTTACCAGTTCTTCTCTTTTTTTAAACCAGGAATGATTTCCAACCCATTTTTAGGGTTTGTTGTTATAAATTGAGAAGAGAAAATGCATTAAAAGGAACAAACACAAGAGTAGATCATCACAAAATATCATATATATATATATATTTATATATAATTGGTGGGGGATGCGAAGGCAACTTTTACAAAATATTTTTATTAAAAAACTATATTTTTACAATAGAAAAAAGCTAATAACCTAAGGAGGAGGAGATTTCTTCATCAAATGAGGAGGAGGAGGTAGTAAAGGGATCATCCATGTCATCATACTCGATGTGCCTGTCATCAAGTAGGAAATTGACCTTGTTGTTGAGGTTGTAGAAATGAGACACCACGCGTCGGAGGTCGTGATCAATCGCTGCTACTCTTACAAGTAGTTGGTCAAAAAGAGATAGGACTACAAAGGTGGAAGCAGAGCCACAGAGGCAAAGGCCGAGGCAAGGGAGGATGGTAGGGAGGTGGAGGAGGAAATGATGGAGGACGTGTGCGGGTAATTTTCTACTGTTTCACCATTGTGGTAGTGCCAACAGTAGTAAACAAAGATGATAGAACAGGGAAAGTACAATTGGCTTCTAATCCTAAATAGACGATGACAAGACATGGTGACAATTCGAGTTCAAATTACTTCAGGAAAACAAAAAAGCAAGAGATAGGCTGATGTAAGGATTAGTAATATCAGTTGTTTATAACTATCGATGTCATTTAACTATGTTTACACTGGTTGGGTTAATGTTCAATATAAAAAGTAATAATAACACTGGGTGTAATAATAATCAATGTAACAACTATATTGTTATTTACAAAAATATCACCATCTCATTTATTACATCGTTGGCGAAATAATTGTGATAAATTAGGCGGTGTAAAATGGTATTTTTCTAGTAGTGAAAATTTAAATTCTCAATCTTATTTAATTACTATCAAACTATTGCATTCAGCCCAACCCTTATAGATGAAGACACAATGTTTTTTAGGTGAAATTCGCCCTTTTTGGTCTTTCTTGTGTGTGTTACACGAGGGTTTTCTTAAACTTATCACACAAGAGACTTAATAGAAAATCTAAAAGTTTATATGAATAAAAATAAAAATTGTGGGGCACCAAAATTCGAAAAGTGAAGACAATAAAGTATGGAATCAGATGCCATTATACCTCAATCAGAGTGCTTTGTGACTCATCCAATTTTGAATTAGAATCCAAACCCTTAATTTTTCACACACAAATTTTCACTAGGAGAAGTAGAATCCTAAAGTATGCTTTTAGATTTTTTTTTTAAATACTTTTGGAGTCTCTTTTAATTTAGTAACATTCACCATTAAAGGATGTTTAAGTCAACTTTTATGTTTCTTTAATTAATTCAAACTTTTAAGATAGGCTTGTTAAAAAGCACGCAAGTCCCATAAAATCACGAAATTAAACTCAAACCCTGTGAATCTTGTATTTATCTAATTAGAAATTTTTTATATTACTCCTCCGGTCCTTATATGACCTAATTATTAAGTTGATTTTAGTCTTAAATATAATATCTATTTCTCATATTTATCAATTTTTTTTAAATTATCCTCATGAATACTCCTCAACCATAATCAAATAAAAGAGGGAGGGAGGATATTAAGAAAGATGATTATATGTTACGTTTGGTACGAAGTATTAAAAATAAGAGATAAAGATTGGGATTGGAGTTGAAAACATATGTTAAAAAGATACTTAGCATGAGTAATTTCTTATCACATAGGATTAGGTAATCCCATATAGATAGGATCGGAGAATACCACCTCCCCTCATAGTATTTTCCAATCCCATATATATGGGTTTGTATAATCCCAAGTATTATACAATTACTCATACTAATTAAACACCCTTTTAATATAGTTTTACACTTTCAATATCAATCCCTATCCCTTATTTTTAATATTTCGTACCAAATGGGACCATAATGTTTTAGGAAAATCATGACATATTTTCTATAATTAACTAACTTACATAACTATATTAATTTAATCAAATTAGTTAAATAGGTCTTATATTTAGAATCAGAGGAATATATTTTTAAATTCCTTTGTAACAACTTCTAATATTTGTAACTTATAAATAGGAATCCTAATAATGTGTTTTGATCATATCTTAATCCCATTTTTCAGCGAAAGTGCTTTTGCCTCAGGACCAAGTGTACAGAGACTTAGTTAGCTTGGCTAACATAATATAGCCAATTTAATTTTGATTTATTCACCACTATAGAAAGCATTTTCGGTATTAGTTAAAAGTGATTTTTAACATCACTTTAAAATTAATATAGAATCAATAAGAGTCAAGACTTCTTTTTTTCAAGTGATTGTCACGTAACTATAAAAAAAGAATAAGCGAGCTCATACTCTATACAAGTTTGATCCAAACAAGTGCCAAGATAGTTCCAATTCACAAAACCCAGTTTAAAGTATTCCATGCTGATGAACAAGAAGCCAAAATAATACTCAAACCCATATCTATCTTTGTCTTTTTAAAGAGATCACAAGATCTCCATGCAATTGGGAAAGTTGTAGAGAGATCATACTTTGAGATAAACAATAATATTGATTAACTTTAATTTAATTTAACTTTGTTTGGCATGAGAGTCACTTTATGTATATAGATACTCTTGTTTTGTTTACCATGTTCCTACTATTCAACTTTTGATTGAAGACTCCATCTTATATATGTCTCTTTTGTGTGCATCTTAATCTTATCTTTGAAGAACCATTGCTAAATGCTTTGAGGTATCAAATCATATGCATATGGACCTCCCAATTGTATTATTATTTTTGCTTTGAATACAATTCTAGTGAACAGTACACTTCACATTACTGTTTTATCACTTTGATTTAAATATTTTATATGTTATTCCACTCCCGAGCTTTGCCTTAAATCCCAAGATTCTGGATAACAAACATGACCCAAGTTGGTAAGTTCTTTGCGTTGAAACTTCCCCTCCCATGAGATTATATGAAGATAAATTAGTCTGACCATATCTTGACCCGTCAAGGTTCTGCCACGTGCATAGAATATAAAGGGGCAAATGGGTTATAAAAAATTTCAAAAAACATGTTTTGACCAGTAAAAATAAATGCTTTTTTTTTAATGCAACTTTATAGTGTTGAGAATGTTATTTTTTCTCATGCCTGCAAGATCTGAATTATGAGCCTTCGCTTCTAATAAGAAAAATTAAGCACTCCCTATTTGACATAATGATTTTTTTTTCCCTTTAAAGCGTAACAAAATGAGATTTTAAAAAAAAAAAGTTATTGACTGTTTGTTTGTCTCCATTTTGGAGAAAAAAATTCATATATTTATTTCGTATAACATAAAATCACTTAAAATAAGCAAATGCAAGTGCTCCCTAAATAATAATTGCATAAATAAATAATCAACACAACTTGAGTCAAGTAGTAAAAAGGGGTGAGGGAATTCTATGTCCCTTGAATATAATTGACTCTCAATATTTTCTAATTGGGACTCTTGAGGTTTGGGGACCTTCTTTAGAGTTCGTATGACATGAATTGATATTTCAAGAGTAAGCTAAAAATTTACTCAAAATTCCAACTTATGGTATTCACACAGAACTTGTAAGAAAACATAGTGTACTGAACCAAAAAAAAAAAGGTGGGGGGAGTAATGATTGTAGCCATTAAAGATTCAATACAAGAGCCATATATCAATTAACTATAAAGCATGAGAAAAGTAGTGAGCAGAAGAATGCATTGGGAAAACCATGTTCTGAGTTTGAGGTCCAAAGTAGGAAGAATCATGATTATTAAAAAGATCACTTCTATGCAGATTTTGACCCTGCATTTTCATCCCATAAGAGTTAACCCCATAAGGATTAAACCCCATAGTTCCTCCTCCTGAATTTGCCTGGTTCCATTGAAAATGTGCTTGACCTAAAGTAGTACTCGGATTTGCCTCCTGCTTTGTGTTACATCCATTTTTGCTGCTGTTATTTTTGTTGTCTTCTAAAGATGAACAAGAAGGTGTTCTTGTGGTTTCTGACAGATTCACTGTTGTTATATCATGAATGCTTGCTCTTCTCTTGTCTTTCCCCCCTGAAAGCTGCCTTATGAAGTACTTCTGAGCATGGCTAGCCACCTGAGTTGGTGTTCGAGTCCCCACGAAATTGCGCGATATGTTCCTCCAATCTCCTTTCCCATACTTCTTCAAACCCAGAAGAAACAGTCTGCGAAGAATTTCATCAAACAGTTGGCGCACAGATCACAAATCAGCACAAAACTAGCCACATATAAACACACACACACACACACACAGAGAGTAACTTCATGAAACAAAAAGATCTCAGAGAATGAATAAACTATATCAAGTCTTCTCAACAACAAACACATGCATGTATGTGCATATGTATCTATTCAATCAAAAGGATTCTAAAAGGAGAAAAGTCTTACTTATGTTCTTCTTCTGTCCATGGGACACCTTTCTTTCTTTCTTGTTCAGGGGGTCTCCCTGATGAGGATCTCTTTCCACCATGTGATTTGAAGTTATCAAATCCAGAAGAGTTAACCCAGTCTAAGGTGAATTGTGAGGTTGTGGTGCTACTGTTATAACCTGGAATTGGGATCAATCCAGCTTCTATGTTACTAACATCTTCTACTAATTCTCTGTACTGCTTAATCACATCTCCTACTGTCTTCCCAGGTATCATTGCAGCAACTTTCACCCACCGATCTGGTGTGTCTTTATCATACACTGCCAGAGCATTCTCAAACAGTTTGTTCTCTGAAGGAGTCCATTTTGTTGTGTTCATGGCGTCTTGAATGAGCCAAGTGGGATTTGAGATATGAGAAGAAGATGAGAGAATATCCATTTCCCACTTCATCAAATCCAATCAGAAGAGAAAAAAGGAAGAGAAAGCTATTGAAGCATGGAAGTGAATCAGGGAGAATTCAAGAAGAAGAGTGATCTCTGAAACAACGAGGATTTCAGTTAATTTGATGAGAAACAGGGAAGAGATGGAGAAGAGATTTTCAACTCAAGAATATTATCAAGGACAAACCCACTAGCATTTTTTTGAAAGGAATCAGAATATCTTTTTGTATCCAGGCATAGGGAATCTAGAAAAAAACCACTTTAGAAAATTAAAAAGGAAGGCGAAAAAATCCCCAAATTGAGATGGAAATCTGTTATCCAGTTACTCCACAGAGATAACCCCAGAATCACAATTGAGAGATCTGAAGATAATCAACTTCCCACTTGGATATCAACAGAACAACGCCATGAGGAACACAAACCCAGAAAAAACTAGAAACTTCTTAGAAACAGATTCTCTTCCTCAGCTGGGGACGCAAAACAACGTAAAACAATGAATTTGCAAGAGGCCAAACAAGGAAACACGAGAAACTGAGAGTGAATGAAGCAAGCACTTGAAGAACAGAGGGAGTGAGAGAAAGAAAACCCAGAAAAGGCGAAATATAAAGAAGCAAGCTAGAAGGAAAGAAGAAGCAATAAAAACAAGCTTTGCAATAATCTTGAGAGAGGAAAAAGGGAAGATTTAAAAAAGGTGAGACGAATGAAACTAGTGAGCTGTGATTGGAGGGTATGTGCTTATGGATACTGCAACTACAGAAAAAGTTGCCTCTCATTATATAATACACGCTCTATCAGGTTTCTGTGCACTTTTTTAAATAAACAAATTTAATTCAAATGGTTTTTTTATAGGGTTAAAAGAGTAAAAATACCCATAAAGTATACTCCCATCTAATGCGTATCTAATATCATAAAATTTACTTGGCCAAAAAAAAAAATCATAAAATTTACAAGATTTAAGAAATTTCTAACTTTGTTTTTATTTAATATATATTTTTTATAAAAATAAAAATTCACATAATAACAAATAAAAGGTAAAAAAAAAGTTAATATTGTAACTGATAAAATATTTTCTCCTTGTTTATTAATAGAGATTGGTTGACTGTATTTTGCCATGTAGGGAGGGAATCGATTCCCTTAGCAGACCACTTAGCAAAGTCTTCTCATGGGATTGATGGCAATTTTTGCCTCTTTGATCAACCTCTTCCCAACGTTTCTGGGGCGGGGCCGATCAAGGAGTGTAAGAATTGCCAGGTTAAGTCTGTTTCTTTGTATTTGTTGCTTGTTTCCTAGTTATCATTTAAAAAAAAAAAAAAGTATATATGAATCTTCTAAAAGATAGGAAAACTCTTATCTCTGTTAACAGTAGACATGTTTTCTCTCTCTGCAAATGGTCAATGTAGTTACAATTAATGGACACGTGAGTTTTGTTTTGGTTTAGAAAATCTATGCGTATTTCTAAAGTTAATATAATTTTTAGTTCCTCAAGTTTTGATCTCTTAAAAGATAAAATAGTTCAAATTTTTATTAAATTATAAAACTAATATTTTAAATATAAAAAAATTTAAAAGACCAAAACATACCGTTTAAAACTAGAACCAAAATAAAAATAAACTTGAGAGATTAAAAGTTTTATTAACTTGTACCTAAGTAAATTTCATAATGCCAGATGTGTATTAAAAAAATAGTTCATCTGTATAACAATAAGTTGTTGGTTAAAATGGTAAGCAGTTTAATTCTTATAAGGATGTAAATACAAGCTCAAATTCAGAAAAGCGTATTTGTTGTAATGGTCCTAGTCTAATAAGATTAGTCTTAAGTCTAAAATAATTTGAGAATATTCTAAGTTATATAAAAAAAAATCCTGGCATATAAATTTTTGTTGTCTTGCTTCCTGCTTCCTTTTTTTGGTTTTTTGGCCGTCTTTTTTTTTTAATATTGCTTAATTTATGCATATAGTTGCGAAGCATTTATGATTAAACGATTTGTTTATAATATTTGAGTTTGTTTGGAGCCTGTGGCAGCTCATCATGAATAATGGAACCTCACCTGTTCTGCACTATTCCTGAAAATGATGATTGTCCTCATTTAATTTCAATTTATTGCTATTTGTTCTTTTATATTTGACTTTTAGTTCTAATTAATAATATATACCATACATTCATTTCTTGGTTTCACGTTAAATATATATATATATATATAATTGTCCCATTTATTCAATTAGTATTATTTATATTTAACGTATTTTTATACATAATGCTTAACTCTACCTATGCTACTTCATAGCTAGTCTCATTAGTCCCAATAAACAAAAAAAATTGTGTTACTATGCTGTCTACTGTTAACGTAAAACTTCATTAAATTTTTATTTATTGAATTTGATAATATATGATGTATGTAGTCAACTTTATTTAATGTGACAAATATTATTGTTTCTGTAGTGATACAGAGAATTTCTTCATGCTCTACTAGCTATGATTCAAAATATAAATATTAAATAACTAAATCATGCAAATAAAAAATTAATTAAAAATAATAAAATGTAATAATGTGACTTTTTTTTTAAAATACTCGAAGATAAATAGAAGAGACAATGAATCATAAAAGAGATGAAAAAGAATAATTAAAAAAACAAGAGATAAGAAAGATATATAATTAATTACAGATAAAAATAAAAAAATTATTAAATGATCAGACAAATTTAAATTAATACTTATAAAAAAAAAAAGTCATATTTTGAAGCTGACGAAAGTATATCTTTCCTTTTCTTTTTTTGGTGCATTGTCTCTGCTTTTTTTTTAACTTTGAAAAATGTTTAATAATATTTTAATGTTACTTTCTTCAAATTAATTTTAGGCTGCGAGTGTATCAAGTTTTAATGCAATAATGACACTCCCTAAAGTTGGCCCCAATTATTGATCAGTCATTCAAATTTCATTTTTATGAATCAAGTCCCTGAAATTTCATAATCACATGCATTTAGTTCTTATGATTTAAAGATATAAAATTTTAATCACGTATGTGGTCTAACCACTAACTTAAGGATGAAAACCTCTTCATCGATTGCAGAAGAAAATTGTCGGTCTGCTGATATTAAATAAGAATATAAAATTAAGAATAAAATTTTAGGAACTTAATTAATAAAAATTAAATTTTAGGGATCAAATTGATAAATGAGACATGGGCCAAAATTTTCAATATCCCAGTTTGGATACTTGATTTTTCTTTTTTTAGAATTTAGTATTTTACTGACAAATTTAGATACTCTTGGATTATGTTCAATTTTTTTTCTGGCAGAGTAATAAAAACATAATCTTATAAAAGAAATAGCCTAAGTTAAATAATTGAGATAATAATAAAAAAATCTGAAAATTGTGAAATTTCAATTCAGACACTTAACGCTTTAAAAGTCAAAGAAAAGAAGTAGTGCCCGATTTGATATTTTGCAAATATAGTTAAATAACTAAAATACTTTTGTTTCAAAAAATTTATTGACAAGTTATGAGTTAATAATAACAAGTGTTGAATAGTAAATGATAAATAATAGCAATAACAAATTTGAAAACAATGGCATTTTAGTCATTTAATTAAATTTACAAAATACCAAATCAAACGTCATTTTTTTCCTAAGATTTTGGAGTGTTAAATGCTTGAATTGTGATTTCACAATTTTCAAGTTTTTTTTTTGTCTTTTTCCTTAAATAATTTGACAAATGAAAAAGTTTTGGGGCCTATCAAGGAAGTATTGTTTCCAACAGGTGAAGTTTCGTAAATCCAATAATACTATTATATATTTGTATTAAATTGCCACATTATTTATACTCTCTCCAATAAATATAATCCATGTGTGAAAAGAGAATTAAAAAATATTTAAATAAGGAGGGAATATATATATATATATATATATATATGAGAAAATCACAAAGATGCCCTTGAAAATTAAAAACTTGCTTACAAGACCCGTTCATAAAAGTATTGTCAAAACCAATGCTAATATTATAACAGTCTCGATTTGTAATTTTTATATTTTTAATGCATTTTTTATGATTTTTCCTATATATATTAAAAGGACTAAACGTGATTATTTTATTTGATTTAAGATTCTGCATTAGTCAAAATATAATTGATATGATATAGCACTCTGTACCAAGATAATTTTTTTCCAAAAAAAAAAAACAGCGATATATTATATAGACATGGATTATTAATCAACCACATAATTATTGCTTAATTTTAATCATAATAGCTATTCTTTCAACCTATTTTTAATGACTTGTTAGAAATGATTAATAAGTAGTTTTTTAATCGTGATTTACAAAATATAAGGTAAGTATGTAAAATAAGTTTTGTCTCGACTTATATAAATCTGTTTATTGATAGTAAATTGTAACAAAAGTTATTTAGTTAATCTGTGTGAATTATAAAATCATATAAATTAGTTAATTATAATAAATGTGATACTCCTCTGATTCTTAATATAGGATCCAATTATTGAGTTAGTTTTTATTCTAAATATAAGACCTATTTTTCATATTTATCAATTTTCTCTAAATTACCCCTATGAATACTCCCTCAACCATAATTAAGTAGAAAAGGGAGATGAAATATCAAGAAAGATTATTATAGTATTTTAGAAAAAACATGTCATATTTTTTATAATTAACTAACTTACCTAAATTTTTTAATTTAATCAAATTAATTAAATGGGTTTTATATTAAGAACCAGATGAGTATAATTTTAAATAAATGAATCTAAAAAATAATACTAGTAATAAATAATAATATAAAAAAATGAAATGAACGACCAAAGCAACGGTTGAGATGAGGCGGCAAGAGTGAATGACGACCTCGCAAGTTGATGCAGTGGGCCCCACGCTCTGTTACCACATACATACTGCCTTTCTCAATTGGGGTAGCCTCCCAAATAATTGTTGTGTTTACAATCCCTAGGGAGAGTGGGCCCCACATGTTCCTGCGTTCCGCTCGTTGATTCGTTCACATCTGATGAACAGCGGAGTCCGAAGCAGAGGATGACAACTCTCGGGAGAAACCAATGGTGACCCGCCACGTAAGGTCGCAAAATTCTCAACAGCGATGGGGGGTGTACTTGATGGCGACCGTGTGAACCCCCTTTTTTAAGGCTTTAGCCCCAACCAACCACCGCCTCTTCAGTCTTCCCTGCTTTTGCTTCCATTTGTACAAATATGACGAAAAAGTCTCTCTGCTCTTCTTTTTCTCAATTTTCATCAGCTTTTAATATCAAGGGAAAATTATAAAAAAAATTTTAAAATTACAAAAACGCAGAGAAGGACCCTTGACAACTTCACTTTGGGTTTTGACAACTCTTTGAGTTTTGACAAGAATAATATGCCCTGAAATTGTCAAAATCCAAAGTGAAGATGTCAAGAATCCCTATCTGCGTTTTTACAATTCCAAGGTCTTTTTTTGCAATTTCTTCTAATATCAACCATTAATATTAAAATTTGAATGGTTTAAATTTCATAATTTATAAAAAAATTTTATTGTTATTTTAAATTATCATAGTTAAAATTTAGTAAGTTTAATTTTATTTATTTTTTAAAAAATTTTTAACATTGTATTTATAATTAAGAAAAGATAATAAAATACCTTAGAAATTGTTAAAGGACAAATCAATGTGAATGAATT